CGAACACTGAAGTAAATATACCCTTGTGAGGGGGGGGGGGAAGTATCTCATCTTGGAACTGCTTGTCTTCATTCTGGAAAAATAAGGTGGGCTTGCCCCGGGCCTGAGAGAATGTTGCAAGAAGTGGCTGCTTTACTATGCACCCCATTGCATTAAACTTTGCAGATGAACACTGAAGTAAATGTACCCTTGTGAGGGGGGAAAATGTCTAATCTTGGAACCACTTGTCTTCATTCTGGAAAAATAAGGTGGGCTTGCCCAGCGCCTGAGACATCAATTCAGATGCTGGTGCTCACACACATACTATGTTCATTAAACTCTCGATTCTTCCTCCCCCAGATGGCTGTTCAACAGAGAAAACGTGCCCGGTTGTGCATGGGAAGGAAAAACAAACTAACCATGGTTTCTGCCTCAGTTGCACCCTGACATAGGGGGATTAAAAAGCACGAACACGTGATTCATAATGACCCAAATGTAGAAGTTTCACATGCCTGTTGCAATTTTTTTTGGAGAGAAGTGGATCTGGGCTTTGTGCATGCAGGTGTATCCAAAGAGTGGTTAAATTTCAAGAGTTTGGTGCCTAAGCCATTCACTTCCCCCTAACACGTTGGGCTGGAACCGAGGGCTCCTGTCCAAGGCGTGGAAACATCTTGGCAGCTCTGTAGTGATGCCATCCAGGTGTATGTGTGTGTGCAGCCGAGTTGCTTAAAACCACCACCACCACCTTGTGAGACCTTCCGAGCAGTCCTGGTGTGTGAACATTTAAATCTATACAGTGGGGCAAGGGGGTCAAGGAAGCCCTGGGTAAAAGACCCACCCAGAAGTGGCTCAGCAGGCCATTTTAATTTCTGTTCCTTAAGTGGGTGGCGCTTACGTTTATTGATGCTCGTGCATAATCAAGGTGCGACTTAATGGGAAATCTGCACGGGGTTCACCTGAGAGAGGAAAAGCAAAGAGGCCATCTTTCAAACCTACGTACGTAGTTGGTCTATTCTTGCTCGTTCTGAAACAAAGGAGTGGCTTTCCACTTTCAAAGCCCAGATCCACCTCTCTCCCAAATCTTTTTTTCCCCCTTAAATCTTCCTGACAACAAATGATTTCAGAGCCAAAGGAGGGGACGGGGCTCGGAAATTTCACAGCCATCTGGTCCCCCGTTCCCCACTTCATATTCTCACACCAAACAAAAGGACGGATCCACACCAAGCAAGACTGGGGTGTTCCAACTCCATGCTCTCAGAAAGCCAGCGGGAAAAAGTCTGAAAAGCTCCTAAACGACTCCCCAGACCCCCCCACCCCACCCCGGTCCGTTAAATACAAAAGAAGTAGAAAAATCTGGATGGGCGTTATTCATAAAAGTTACAAAATGTGCCTATTATCTCTCTATATAATTATGTACACCGAAAACAGTGAAACAGCAAGACAGGTGGGGGAAAAAAAACAGTAACAACCCACAAACACACACGTTATTTTCTACAAAACGCCAATATTGCACTTGGTTTTCTTGAATCTTGGTCTTCACACAGGAATGATAATTTTCAGGAGAAGGGGCTGGAACGCCGTTGCTTAAGGAGCCCTCTTCCTCTCTTGACAAAACCGGAAGGAGGGTGGGAGGGGTCCATTGGTTTGCAACAAATGGGAGGGAGCCCAGTGGGCCCCTTGGGCGACCATCTTCCAGAGCAAACGGTCTTCCAAACCAAAGCACCCCAAGGCATAGAATTCACCCCCCCCACATCCCTGGGAAGATGTGGGGGTGGGGGTGAAAGAGGGGTGTCCCAGTGCAGAGGGTGTCCCTTTGGCAACTGGGAAAGGCTTCAGGGCGCCATCATAAGAGGGAGGAGAAGACCATCACCGGGGAGAAGGTTCAACCCGTCTTCCTTTCCCGACAACGTAGCCGGCGATCCATGGCAGCAGTCGCTTCTTCCACCTCCTCTTCCTCCCTCCCTTCCCCGTTGGAATAAAACTGACGGTTGCGCCCAGGAGGATCTGGCCCGCGGAGCATACCAAACCGACAAGGGGAAAGCGAAATACGCTTGCATTGTAACAGCTACATCCTGAAGGGCTTTAGTATCGTGTAAGGCAGTGGTTCCCAACTTTGGATTCCCAGATGTGATGGGACGATGGCTCCCAGAAGAAGCCTTCGCCACCGGCTGTGTCGGCTGTGAGGATTTCTGTCATCTCCGAGGGAAATTCGGTGTTCCGGGTCACCTGTCCAGCAGGAAGCCTCTCGGTCCGCACGGGGAACTGGCCGCTTGCAAACCGCTTGGGGCCCCCGCTGAGTGAAGAGCAGCTCGATTTCTGTCCTGCGTCTCTCAACGTGGTCGAGGAAAAAGAAAAAAAAAAGACGAGAAGCAGCCCAGAAAGTGGAACCGGGGCAAGGCGAGAAACACGGACAAAATGACTCATTGCTCCAAAACAGTGCAAAAACAAACAAACAAATGAAAACCCCCTCTGAAGCTTCCTTGTGGGCACCGGAACTATTTCTTCTATGTAACTTTTGAAGTTTTCACTTTCAGTGCTATGCAGTTTTGGTTATCAAAAGGTGCTTAAGAGGAGAACCCATTCCCGACTCTGGAAAGCATTATAGTTCAGGGGCGTAACCCGGATTCATCAAGAAACCCTGTCTGCCGAAGGGTGGCAGAAAGTCTTCTGCCGGCTCAGATTTGTCTTATCAGTGACCAATGGCGTTTCCTTCGACGGGAGGGCAGACCTTGCTCTTGGAGAAAAGGGACAAGAGGCTCAAGGGAAGGGTAGATGCGTAGGAGGTGGGGCTACCTTCTGCGCCGTTCTGCAGGGCCCAAAACCTTACAACGGGGGATCCTTGTCTTTGAGGGAACTAGGTTCAGGCCTCAGGAAATAAAAGGCTTATTAAGCAGAGTTGGGTAGAGACACAAGGCGACCGAGTGGCAGGTTATTGCTGGTGAAGAGACTTGTGGAGCCTGTAACCCACTGGGGATCCAGAGGCACCCTTAAGACTTGGACCTTCCATGGCTCTGCCCCTCGAGGCCAAGAGTAGAAAGCAAGTCAGTCCTCAGAAAGAATCAGACAGGGACAGCTGGGGGGGGAGGGAAGAGAGAGAACCAAACCATCACCTTCGCTTGCTCTCCTTTCTTTCTTTTTTTTACAAAAAAGGACAGGTTAAGGTTAGGGCTGCTTCTCTTTGCTCCAAAACCCTAGCACGGTGCTTGCAAGTTTGGCTCCCCCGTCCTGATTCTCCTCCTAGAGTAGAGAACATCCCAAGTTTTAGGACAGGTGGGCTCCTTCCCCAGGGGCACATTTCAGCTGGCACCATTAAAGCTTTCTCACGAAACAAGGAGACTGACCGACCGACCGGCTGCCTGCCCGCCCGGCTGAATGGGAGCCGCAGTCTTTTGAGTTTGGTGCAAGTTGTTCTTTTTCGTAGTGCAACAGAGGGTCTGTGTAAGGCCACCACAGGAAGAGCAGAGCGCCCTCCTGAGGCTGGGGCGTGACTATTGCATTGGTTCTTCCCTGCCTGGGAGCAGGCGGTGGCCCCCCCGCCCCCTGCCTGTCATATCGCTCCACCCGGTCCTCTTCCTCTCGTTCCAGTGTCAGACGACTCATTACAAACATTTGCCACTTCAAGCTCCGCAGGAATAATAAAATAGTAACAACAATAGAAATAATTATAGTGATTAAGTTGGGGATGGAGGAAGATCTGGACGGGGGCCCCAAAAGCCTCCCGCTCCCCATTCTGCACACACGCAGAAGGCCTTCGAAGATACATGTGCATCCGTCCCGGGCTTGCAAAGCAGTCTTTGGGGCCGCGTCTGCGAGTGAGGTCTGCAATGTTTCCGACCACAGTACCAAGAAACCCATCAGGCAGCAGCCGGTCACCAGGAGGGCCAGGCCAGGCCCCAACATCATCATCAGCAGCAGAAAAGGAGGCCGGGCACATCGTGCGTCCTCGTGCAGCAGCCCCGGCTGCCGGAGATCAGGAGGAGGAAAAGCCGGTCCTCTCCGGCTATTTGGACTCGGTTGGGTTGTATTCCGTCTCGCCGGACGACACCTGGGAGATGCGCCGTGACGAGCGCCACAGCCGCCGGTGGAACTGCCCGGTCTTCACCTGGAGCGGAGCGGAAAGACAGCGAGGGAAATGAGCCACCTCCGATTTGGACGGTGGAACAGGGAGGGCAACGGGAGAGGGGTGGGGGAAAATAAGAGGCAGGTTTCCGTGTGACGCGGCGCCCTCTTGAAGCGTACGGACAAAGTCGGACTACCAATCCCATCCTCCCGGCACCACTAGCCCTTCTGCTGGGGACGATGGGAGCTGTAGTACCCCACATTTGGAGGGCATCGCTTGGGGAAAGCTGCCTAGAGCAGGAACACTCCATGATCGTACCCAGCAAGGCCCCTGAGATCCCCCACTGTCACGTGGTAGATGATCTCTCCCTAAGATCCTCTCAGGTTGTGATCTTGTGATTGGCTATCCTGGGGGAGGCCTGCACTCCATTCCATGATCGAGCAAGGCCCCTGAGATCCCCCACTGTCACGTGGTAGATGATCTCTCCCTAAGATCCTCTCAGGTTGTGATCTTGTGATTGGCTATCCTGGGGGAGGCCTGGAAAACGACCACCAGGAACGGATGTTGTGGGACCCACTCGCTGCCGGCGGGGGTCCACCCAGCCCCTTCTCCCTTCTGTCCTTCAGGAAGCAGGTGAAACCAGCGCTCTTCCAAGAGGCATTCAGGACCCTCGTAGATGATCTCTCCCTAAGATCCTCTCAGGTTGTGATCTTGTGATTGGCTATCCTGGGGGAGGCCTGGAAAACGACCACCAGGAACGGATGTTGTGGGACCCACTCGCTGCCGGCGGGGGTCCACCCAGCCCCTTCTCCCTTCTGTCCTTCAGGAAGCAGGTGAAACCAGCGCTCTTCCAAGAGGCATTCAGGACCCTCTTTTTCCCCATGGGAGAGACTCCCCCCCCCTCCGACCTATTCCTGTACAGCTTTTAACTGATTTGCTGTCACCATCGGGACGGGTAGTGGTGATGGAGTATGTGATTGTTATATTATGCTTAGGGTCGTTTGTTACTCTTATCCTCATGTGTTATTCTGGGTAGGAGGCAGTGGGTGTACGCTCTTGGGTAAACTGCCTAGAGAAGTGGCGCGCCACCAGATGGGTGGGGTCGGGGCCCAATCAGTTAACTAAGTAAGTAAATAAGTAACGAAGAAGGAAGGAAGGAAGGAAGGAAGGAAGGAAGGAAGGAAGGAAGGAAGGTGTAAACTGCCTAGAGAAGTGGCGCGCCACTAGATGGGTGGGGTCGGGGCCCCTTTAATTAACTAAGTAAGTAAATAAGTAACGAAGGAAGGAAAGAAGGAAGAGAGAGAAAGGAAGGAAGGAAGGGAAAGAGAGAGAGGAAAGAAGGAGCAGATGATGGATAGAAGGAAGGAAGGAAGGAAGAACTGATGAAAGAAGGAAGGAAGGGAGGAAGAGAGAAGAAGGAAGGAAGGAGGGAAGGAGGAGAGAGGAAGGAAGAGAAAGGAAGGAAGAAAGGAAGAAAGAAAGAAAGAGAGAAAGAGAAAAGGAAAGAAGGAAAGAGCAGATGATGGATAGAAGGAAGGAAGGAAGGAAGGAATAACTGATGAAAGAAGGAAGGAAGGAAGGAAGGAAGGAGGGAAGGAAGGAAGAAGTGATGAAAGAAGGAAGGAAGGGAGAAGGAAGGAAGGAAGGAGGAGAGAGGAAGGAAGAGAAAGGAAGGAAGAAAGGAAGAAAGAAAGAAAGAGAGAAAGAGAAAAGGAAGGAAGGAGCTGATGATGGATAGAAGGAAAGAAGGAAGGAAGCCCACTTGGTGTCCTATGAGGAGCCAAGCTCACCCTCACCCTGAGCAGAAGAGAGGGAAAGCCACAATGCCCCCCCCCCTGGCAGCCACAGCTCCAAGCACCTGGCTAAGAAGAGGAGGGCCGGGGGCGGAGGGGAAGGAGAGACACCTGACACTCACCTCCGAGGGCTGACCTGCCCCAACCACGATCAGCTTCCCGTCCTCCAGGCCCACCAGGATGTGACTCTTCTCCTTTGTCACGGAGACGCTGTGGATGGGGACCTTCATGGCCAAAGGGGAAACGGCGGCCTGGAGGCTGAAAGGACAGCGGGACAGGATGGAGAAGCCCCGTCGGCACATAAGGTGCAGAACTGGGAAAAGTTCCTATATCCCCCTGGACTACATTTCCTAGAATTCCCCCAGCCATTAAGTCAGACAAGTGACCTCCCAGAGTTCTGCGTGCTTGTGTCAAAGTCGCAAATAGACTCAGGGAGGATCCGGGGTTTTCAACTGCTTCTCAACCTGGCCTTTAAATTGATTTTTTTTTCATCTGCTTTTAAAGAATGGGTCTACTGCTTTAAGAGTCCTAGCAGGCAGAAAACTGATTTTAAAAACACTTTAAACCCATCCATAAAACTCCCAAGGACGACTACTGATAAGCTGCCAAATTGCCAGTCCATTTGACCTCCAGAGGTCCAAAGGGGACATTGCACATGCACCTCTGGACTTGGGAGGATGTCCCCACGCTGGCACCCGGTCTGCCCCCAAAACATTTATCTTCAAAAAAATGCTTTTTTAAAACAGAAAACGCTCCCTCGTGCCCTCTAGTGGACAATAAAAAATATTTGCAAGATGTATGGGAGCCGAAAGGGTGATGGGATCCCCAACGTGAGGCAAATCTGGCCCTCCACATCTCTTAGAGGGCAGGAGAAGGCTTTCTGAGCCACGTGTGTCTTGTGATTTTTTCAAAACACCATTTGAGCCGTGGGGTGGGTGCCCCACGCAGCAGGTGTCCCCGTGGCCTGCTCTCTTGCCCTGCGAGAAGACACAGGTTTCGAAGGATGCAAGGCCTGCTTTGGTTTACAAAAGGGGAGGCACCTTACGTAGCGCTCACTCATTCATAAGTCGGGGGAAGCCTGGCACACCCAAGAGTGGAGAGTCTGACCGCAGGGAGCAGCGTCGTTACCTCTGAAGGTCCCGGATCTGCAGCGAACACTGAACGGTCCCCAGCACGACAAACTCCTCCGTGAGGCACATGGCGGTGACCTCTTCGTCCAGCGGAAGGGAGGAGAGAAGCTTGCCGTTGACGGAGTAGAGGTGAAGGGCAAACCTGTCCTGGAATGAACAAGACCCGGGCTGTCAGGAGGAGCACGGGAGAGGCCCTCCCTCGGAGTCAGGCCATCCTCAGAATAGACCGCACCGTGGGGTGGGGGCAAGACATGTTGCACTGGGCAATTCCCGCCATCCTTTTCCCGCCGGACACTAGGAGCGCGCCTTAGCTTTTCTGCAGCAGCAACTTCCTTTTCAAACAGGAAATTAGGCCTGGTTAAGGCATGAGGCCCAGCCACTGAGCACCATTTAAGAGCCGGGAAGGTCTGGGAAACCTGCACGTGGGACTCACTGAAAGGAGAAGTTTGGCATTTGCAAAAATCAAAATCAAAAAGTTCATCCCTCTTGGCTTTACAGGCTAGCGTGACGCTGGCCGCCTCCTCGCCTAAACCTATGGGTTCTTCTGGGTTTTAGGCTGGCCGCCTCCGGAGGGCAGCGGAGACCCACCTTGGCCTAAACCTATGGGTTCTTCTGGGTTTTAGCGAGGAGGTTTTCCTTGCCCTAACGGAAGAGGCTGGGGACCACAATGTGGGGCCTTCTGCAAGCAACCATCCCCTAGGTATTTATAGCCATGTATGTCCAAGCAATCTTGCATGCTTCTCTCCCCCCTTCCCCCGTTTAGTCACCCCATCTCTTGCCGAGCTCACCTTCAAGGAGGCCCTCCCCTCCACCGTCGTCTGGACAACAATCTGCCCTTCGTGACCCACAGCGAGGTTCGCAATGGTGACAGGCAAAGAGCTCTCACCGGGGGGCTTCAGAGACTTCATGAACTGGCCTCGGCGGATCGTGTGGACGATGATGGTGCCGTCCTGGCAGAGGAGAGAAGCAAAAGCTTCCGTAACGAGACCTATCTAGAGCCCATCCACCCTTCCAGTCTGGGAGGCTCTAATTGCCTGTGTATCTTGTGGACTAATATGGACGACGCCTTTTGTAAATGTGGGAGCCTTCCCCAGAGAGTAAGACAAGAGCAACGCAGGTGTCCGGAGCCCAGGGACAGCTAGCTCCGAAAACAGAGAGATCAAGCTTGGCCTTACCTTTGACCCTGAGACAGCCATGTCCAACTCTGTGCTGATTGCGACGCACGTGACTTCTTCATCGTGTCCGTAGAGGACCTGGACGGGCTTTGGGGCCAAGCCACAAGAGAAGCCACCCTGAACAAAGAAGGAACCTGGTCATGGGGCAGAATTTCGAGGGAAGCCACCTTCACAGACAAAGGAGCTTGGCTGCTTCTCCTAGAACTCAACCCAACCCAACCCAACCCAACTTAACTCAACCCAACACAACCCAATCCAACTGCCTGAAGAGAAAGGTCTTTTATCTCCTTGCAGAAAGACAGCAAGTGGCAGAGAGAAAGACAGCAAGTGGCAGAGAGTTCCAGAGTCTCTGGGAGCCACCACAGAGAAGGATCTTTCGCATGTCCCCCACCCACTATTACGCTTCTTGTTTACAGTAAATTGGCGTGCAGGGGAACAAGAAACAAGAAAAAAGCAAGAAGCCTCCAAGATTACCACTGGCATGTTGAAAAGGGCTATAGATAAAATCATCTGCGGTTGATGGATCAGCAGATGCCACCTCATCCTTGTGGAAGGATGCAGGGATTGAGAGAGAAGGAATTCTTTGTAATTGTTCTGATGTCCGTATACGATATATTGATTTTTCCTACACTAGCTGGAAGCCGCTGCATTATAATGCATGGGAGACTCAGCCGCAGGCTTGGAAAGAACCCTAGTGTGTTCATCAAGAGCTTGGAAAAAGGGTGTCTTCTGGATTACGCCTTCCAGAAAACGTCCGGCTTGCCAAGCCCCTTGTCCAAAACAGAGTCGCTTTTCTAAGCTCCACGTGCTGGCTCCCCTCCTCTAATTTTTCTCTGAGATACAAGCCTCCCCCACCACCAGCTCCTTACCTGCTGTAGGACCTGCCAGATCATACAGGTGGTATCCCGGGACCCAGAAATGAGGTAGATTCCACACAGGTCTAAGGCCAGGCATGTGATGACATCTGCAGCAAGAAGAAACGGGGGGGGGGGGGGGGGCACCCAAACTGGACAGAAAACACGAGGCTTAAAAGACCCCAGAAAGATGTGGAGCAGAACACAAGGAGGCCATGTGAGAAAAGTCGGCAGGTCATGAAGAATAATAACCAGGTGTCATCAAGTCAGCTCTGATTTATGGCCACCTGTTCCAGGATTTCCCAGGTAGGGAAGACTCAGAACTGAATTGTCCTCTTCCTTACAAACATGCTACTTTTTGCATAGCTTGTGTCATTCATGCATTTTGCTCCCCCCCAATTTTTTTTTTCCAAATCTCTCCTGAGTGCCGACTCGCTAGCCCCAGTGACATCAGGGAAGGTGCGCCTTCCTGGCTTGCCGGCGTGGTTTCCCTCTCTTGACCCTCCCGCTTACCGATGTGCCTGCTGATGTGGCCGACGACCTTCCCTTTGCTGAGCGAGGTGACCCGTAAGCTGTTGTCCCAGTGTCCCCCGCTGAAGAGGAGTTTCCCATCGTGAGAGACGGCCAGCGTCTTCGAGGAGACATCCACCCCCGGGGCAAAGGGGCCGTACAGGTAGCGCTGGGTCCTGGCAACAGAGAAGGGTGTTTCATTTTATTTTTTTAAAAAGAATTTTTTGCAGTAGGCAGGGCAGCCTGCGCTCAAGGCAAAGACAAAAGACGAGGCCTGTTTGCAAGGCAGAGTCGGCAGCCTCCGGCCTCCGTGCTGAACCCGGCCACTCTAGGATTTCAGAGGTGGCCATGCCCTTTCCCCCCATGACACTCTTGGCCCAGCTCCCCAGCTTTCCCCTTTTCTCCCCATTCTGAGGTCCTGCAGACCTCCTCCGATGACTCGGTCCTGGACAGAAAGAGCTACAAAGAGTCTCGTTTTCTTGGCCCCACCAGCCAAGTTCTGGGCCCCGCCCACTGTGGGAATAGCCCTGCCCTCCCTTTGCCCTGCCACGCCCACTCAGAAGGGGAATCTGGCTCCTCCCCCTTTGGGCTGACTCACTTGGAGTTGGAGACCGTTGAATCTTTGGTGAAGCTGAAGTAGTTGGAGATATTTTTATCGTAGGGCAGCCAGCCGTGTGTCCCAAGGAGCCCGTTGGCGCTGACGGTGACCTGGAAGGGAAGGTGCCAGAGAGCGCGGAGTGGGTAGAAAGGCAAATTAAAGCCATGGCAGGGGAAGGAATGGAGAGAGAATCTGAATGATATCATATTATTTTATTCGCATCCCATTTTTTCCCCCTTGCAGGAAAGCCACTCAAGTGGCTCCCGATCCGAATCGAAACAAGGTACAGCTGGAAGCGCAATTGTTTCGGAAAACCAACACACACCATTCGACAGGGCGATGTATTCGAAGCAAACACTGAATCAACAGCCTTTGCTTTTCAGACCCCAGCCTGTTTAAATGGAGAACCATCTCAAAGCCCTTTAAAAGCAGAGCAGGAAAAAGGTTATGAAGAAAACAACAGCCCTCAGGAAAAGACCCAGCGAGGAGCTAAATGTTTGCCTTGACGAAAAGTTCTTTGCTGGCTGTCAGAAAGAGGGCTGACCTGCACTCCTTTGGAAGGAGGTTCTAAGACCCGGGAGCCGTCACCGAGGAGGCCCTGTCTCACTGCCTCCACCACTGTGACTGGGGGAGGGGTGGGATCCAGAGCAAGGTCTCCCCCAGAGATCGTAAGACCCCGGCGGGTTGATATGAGGAGATGAGGTCCTCCAAAATGCAGCCATCTGGGGCCAGTGGTTGCCGCCCGCCCCCTTAGCTGTGGCTTAGTTGATCCACTTAAAAGGTGAGGACAAACAGTCACAGGGGGTAAAAGTTCCCAGAGTTATTCTGACTTACCAGCACATCAGGAGACCCCTGAGTCATAAAGGAGTGGGCTTGGTTCTTGGGGACAACGGCCTTCACCAGCGGGATCCCGTCACTGATGCTCTAAACAACGGAAGAGGAGTGTGTGTTTGTGTGGTTTACTTGGCTATAAAACTTTGCAAAGTCTTGTGCTCTTTGGGAGAGGGCTAGCCCTCTGCCGGGATCTTCCCGGGGAAAATCCACGACCAAAACACGGCATGCACCGTTGGGAAAGGAACGGAGCCAGCTCGCCGGCGGGCAGGGTCAGCTCCCACCCTGTTTGCGGGGAGGGAGAGAAGGGCTTACCTCTCCAAAGAACGATTTGAGCTGGCCGAGGTTCTCAAACACATTGGGGGAAAAACTGTCCAGTCGGGACAGTCTCCGGGCGGCGTCTTCGGCGGAAAGCCTGGCTGGGTGAGGCTCCTGATTGAACGGGAGAGAGAGAGAGAGAGAGAGAGAGAAGACAATCTCCGGGCGGCGTCTTCGGTGGAAAGCCTGGCTGGGTGAGGCTCCTAATTGAACAGGAGAGAGAGAGAGAGAGAGAGGGAGGGAGGAAAGCTTAGCGATGGTGGTTTTCTGCTTCTGTCTGGACCGGGCGTGTGCATTTACCCTTCCAAAAGTAAAACCCACATTGAGTTGCACATGACTGTCCCCCATTCTCTGCTGCGCACGAGCGATTATGTTTTGAGAAACAACGGTAATTTCTACCCCCGCTGGGGGGGGGGAGCGAACAGGAAGCAGGCCCTTTCACAGATAGTGTTTCTGGGGTAACGGATCAGATGTTCGAGTCAGCTTTGCCCAGGATGGTGCCTCCTAGATGGCTTGGACTACGGCCCCCATTATCCCCAGCCACCACAGTCACTAGCCATACAGGCTGGGAATGATGACACCGTCTCGGAAGGCCCCTGATGGAGAAAGGCCACATTAAGTCGTCGTCTGGAGAAGTCGTCACCGTAGCAGCCTTCCGACACAAAACCCCGTCCATTGCAGTTCTGTCTGCTGTACATGTGGCCGGATAAGAACTGGGGGAGGACACAACCCGGACTCTTACTGGAAATTCAGGTGTGCTTACATGGTAGGTACTCCAACCTGATCATTCCCATTTACTGCTTAGAGGAGTCTCAGGGGGCAATGATTAAACTGCAGTACTGCAATCAAAACTGCTCGTGACCTGAGTTCAAATCCCAGGCCCACTCAGCCTTTCAAGGTCAGTAAACTGAGTCCCCAGCTCACCGGGGTGTGTGTGTGTGTGTGTTTGCAATATGTAGCCTGCATAATTAAATTGCAAACCACCCAGAGAGTGCTTTGAGCGCTATGGGTTGGTTTATAAGCAGCACGCTTCGCTTACTAGCCAGTTTCACCCCCCCATCCTGACAGCTGCTCTGCCTGTACAGTAGCCTTTGTAGTGCCAAGGATCGGAATCCCCCCACCCCCCCCAAAAAAGGTACAAGAGTCATAGGCTGAGTGCTTTTCAAAACCCATATTTTGGTACAAAAGCATTTGGCATGCTTCATTCATCACTTTCCGCGGGTCTTTCTAAACTGGCTTTTGAAACGGTCTGATACTTTATTGGGATGGTTGTAAATGTCTTGTTTACAGGCTAAGCTGATCCTAATGGTTTTGTCTGTTTTCGCTGGCTTTTATTCCGTTTCGTGGCGTTTGCAAGGCACCCCTGCAAACTGCTGCGTTGGGGGGAAGCCAGAGGAGAAATGTCGTCGACCCTCTTCTGAAACGGTGCTGCTACACTAAGATCAGAGTGAGGATAATGCTAGCGAGGAATGCAGGGATGAAAAGGAACAGTCAAGAAAGACCTCGAGGGGGATACGGCTTTAAGGGGCCAAATAATTCTTTGGAAACATCTCCTCCTAGGTTAACCCTTTCCTCCATTGTCCAGCACCTGGGCACACTCCTACAACTTCCACCTAATACCCTTAAAACAATGAGGCTTACCTCCGCCTTCCTGTTACGGCTCCGTCAGCCATGCTACCTGCCTTAGGTCCCAACCCAGCTTAGCTCCTGTTAGGTTTAACGGATGGCTTCCACCCCATAGCCTCCCAGCCCCACCTTCTGCCCCGGCTCCATCCTCTGCCTTGTCAGCTGGCAAGGATCGGCAGAATCTGTGCCAGCACCCTGTACCTTCAGGAGCTGGCATGGGGTCTGTCCGAAGTTGCTGATGATGCCTTCCAATGCTTTCCGTTGGGTCGGGTCGACGATGGCATCTAAGTCCACAGCCCCTAAAACGAAATTGCAGGAGGAGGACATTTTTTTAAGGGAGGACACACAGGCTCAGCGTAAAGCTTCATCATGTCGAACTGGCCTCGCTTGAGGCATGTTAGCACCCATTCTGAGGATGATTAGAAAGCTCCTGCTTCTCCAAACAGGGTCTGCCTCCTTCTGGAGCGTCACAGGGTCTAGGGGAAAGTCTTTGGGAGGTCACTCCCGTTACGAAACAATGGCCCCAGCAGAGTCCCCTCTTTGTGGCTTTCTTAGCCCCTGATGGAACTCTTCGTATTCATGGGGGCCTTTTAAAGAAGGTACCTTTTAAAGCACGACCTTCTTAGTCCAAAGGTTTCATTTCCTCTGGAGCCAACCCCACCTGGGGAAAACCTTTTTTTTCTTTCAAATTCTGCCGCCTGGCTGGCAGGGTCATGCGACCAAGCGCACAAACGGTTGCAAGACCAGCTGCACAAGCAGAGCGCAACCGAGCGTCCAAAAGCAGCCGAGAGAACCGCAGGCCTGACTCGCCGCTCTTGGGGTTCCAATTCTGGCCCGTGGTTTTAACGGGGATTTCACTTCTGCTGGTTCAGACTGGCTTTGTGTCTGTTTGTGAATAGCTCTGAGAACTTCTCTTATGAGGCAGATAGAGGAACACAGGGGTAAAGATATAAAACCACACACTAGCTGTGTTCATACATGCTTTTGACATGCGGCTACACTATTTTTACTAAACCCGCTGTTATAAAACAGGTGGGAATCCTGGCTCCCCAAAGGTCTCATCGGCATTTAAGTGGTGTGGGGAGATGAGACTCTGTTTCTTCCAAAGAAAGAAGCCACGACTCTGGAGAGATAATCATCATAGCCCAGCAAAGACGCCTCCAGAGGGCTCCGTTCTTACCTTCGTAAGTGCAGTAGTAGAAAACATTCAGGGCTTCTACAGCGGCTGGGCCCCTCTGCTTATATCCAAAGATTAAATCAATCCACTCGTGGAGATGGGCAGATACGTATTCGGATTCCTGCCCAGGAGAAAAACAAGATGTCTTCTAAGCTCAGACCTTTATGCCTGCCTGCCTGCCTTCCCTCCCATCCTCCCTCTTGAAACAAAACAATCAGTATGATGCATCTTTGGACAACAGATCTGTGCAAGAAAGAAGGAAGGAGGGAAAGAAAGGGAAGGGAAGGGAAGGGAAGGTCTCCCTCTTGAAACAAAACAATCAGTATGCTGCATCTTTGGACAACAGATCTGTGCATGAAAGAAGGAAGGAGGGAAGGAAAGGGAAGGGAAGGGAAGGGAAAGGAAGGAAGGAATTTGCAAGGTCCAACACCAGACAACCTTGCTTAGAGAAGGGAGCCGGGCTTTTAAGCCAGGTCATTCCACTATGGAATTTCAACTGGTCAAATCTGGATTTGAGATGCAAAGAATATGCCTGTTATCAAGAACTCATGGACTTTTTCTATAAGACTGAACTTTAGGGGCTTAAATAGAAAGCTGCCCATCTCAAAGAAGGACGGGCCCCTGTTGAATATTTATTTTCATGCAACACGACAGTCACAAACAAAACAAAACCATGGTCCGCTTCCTCCAAACCCCACGCCTGATTCATTTCCCTCCGTAGGCAGACCTTCAGTCCCAGTTAAAACTAATGGAAGACCGGAAGGCGGTGGCCAAAACTCTGTTGGGTTTTTGCGGTTAGTGTCAAACAACCGGCGTAAATCTCGTTGCTGAGCTGCCGCAAGTTAAGAAGTTAGCACAGGAGTTTGCTGTTGTGCGCTGAGTCATGTGGCTTGGCACACAACAGCTGACGCTCATGTTAACGTCTTATTTTGATATTTAAAGAGATTTATGCCGACTGCATTATACAGTACTGGGCAGGGAGCAGGGTCGCTAACAGGATTTTGGGAAAGAAATCTGTTCTTCTTATTAGAAAGCCATCCAGAGTCGGAACGCTGTCCCTCCGCCTCTCAGTCTCACTCTTCCTGTGTTCTTCCGCTCAACTTACCAAGGCTTTTCTGTGCTTGTGAATAAAATCCTCCGGGGATCTGGCCCACCTGGGAAGGACGACATCCCCTACTTTTTCATTGGACATCTGAAGGATGCCCAGATCAAAGCCTGCAGGAGGGGGCAAAAAGAGGCCGGCTCAAACGACACAGAAGGAATACTACGGTCTCCCATCTTTGTCTCGCTCCTAAACATCTTCAGTCTCTAATATCCACTAGAGTTTAAAATCAAGAGCCAGCCAGTGCTTCACAGAACACATCAGCAACCTCTCCTATGGGGAGATGAAGTCCCGTGTGCTTACAAGAACACCTTACCGGCTGTGACTCGGAGAGCTTCCCCCATCCCCTTTCCAGAAGGAGGAAGAGAGATCTACAGTGACGTCCAATATCAGCCCAGCAGGTTTCCCCTGGTGTAAATAAAGTTTCTGACCCCTGAATCCCGACATACTTTCTGTTTCTTTGGCAAGCATGGGAAAAAAATTCTATACATGTGGAGCCCATTTCAGCTTTAGTGAAGCGAAATCAGCAGTGGACAGTGCCGACTGGCTAGCATCTGTGACGTCAGCATCACTGCCCCTCCAGCACCGTAAAATCCCTGGAGTAGTTTTGGAAATGTCTTTGCACACAAAGCGTAACTCACACTGCCCCGGCACCTTAAAATCCCTGGAGTAGTTTCGGAAATGTCTTTGCACACAAAGCGTAACTCAAAGTAGCTCGTTTTCAAAAACACGGGACTGGCAGAACATCCACATGCTAAGATCTCTCCAGCTTCTGGCTAGTCACTGCCGGGTCAAGGGACTAAGGGTTAGTTAGTTCACGCTTTGGTCTGACCCAGCCATGGGTTACCATTTTGGTTCTCCAGGAAGTCTGTGAAGTAGAAGAATTCTGGGATTAACTCCTTCACGTCCACAGGGTTTTCCATGCGGGCTTGCCAGGCAGCAGGAACTGAGTGGAACTGGCGGTCAGAGCAGTCAAACCTGCCGGAATGAATGGAAGATGGGATCAAGGCTGGGGATCATGGGCTTTCCGGATCACCGCTTCCACAGAGGCTCAGGTCCAAATGGCCATGACTGAATGAGATGCGGAGAGCCAGCCTGGAATTAATTGCAAATGAACTTTCCATGTGTGGTTATGAAAAGATCTGGGCCAGATCTCCACCCCCCTGGGAAGCGAACACTCTGTTCGCACGAAGAGCCACTTTTGACCCAAACCCTCTCCTGTCTCACTGTCTGGCTTTTCCAAGTCACGACTGGGAAGAAAATTACTATCCTCTCCCTTCTCCTCCAGCTTGACTTTGGGTCTGCTACATAACATGCTCTTGGTTGCCTTTGATAAAATAAACAGAAGCCTGTCTTCCCTTCTGGATCCCCTTTTCTTAAATCAGTTTAAAAAAAACCCCCACAACCTCTCTCCTGCTTTCTCTCTCCGTGAACGCCCGCCAAGGTCCTGCTTGCTTCTGCTCACCTTCCGCTCTGCAGCTGGATGTGCAGGGTCGTGAACGGTTCGGTGCGGATCAGGTAGTGCATGACGCCCGCGGCGTTTGAGTAGTGGGTGCCGTAGTGGAACTTGTCGATCATGCCCGTGGGATCCTCAAAGCTCTCGTATCTGAGGACAGGAGAGAAGAGCCATATCCATACAGAGTTGTATTCCACGCTCCTCCTCACAAACCAGAGGGTTTGATGCCCACTGTGGATGGAACTGAGACACATGAACACACACACACACGGGTACAATACAGGCTAAGCCTGGAATCCCTGTTTCACACTGCTTAGCAGATGATAGATAGATAGATAGAGAGAGAGAGAGAGAGAGAGAGAGAGAGAGAGAGAGAGAGAGAGAGAGAGAGAGAGAGAGAGAGAGAGAGAGAGAGAGAGAGAGAGAGAGAGAGAGAGAGAGAGAGAGAGAGAGAGAGAGAGAGAGAGAGAGAGAGAGAGAGAGAGAGAGAGAGAGAGAGAGAGAGAGAGAGAGATAGAGAGATAGACAGACGGACGGACGGACGGACGGACAGATACAGACAGACGGACAGATACAGACAGACAGACAGACAGACAAGGAAGGAGCTGATAGACAGATAGATAGATAGATAGATAGACAGACAGACAGACAGACAGACAGACAGACAGACAGATATAGGTAGATAACACCAGTAGGGAACATGACAGGATATTCACATCCACCCTTCTGGCCACCCCACAGGAAAGAGATCACACCACTTCTTTCCTAAAAAAAAATTATTTCTGCCTCTTGTGTCGCACACGCCCACATCCATTTCAGGAAACTGAATGCTTCCAAGAGAACGTGGAATGAGGATGAAGAAGAATTCTATGGATACCCCGGTCTTTCCACCACAAAGTAGTCCTCACAATCATCATAAAACAAAAACAAAAACAGATTTAGCCATAAAAATCGCAAAACCAAATAAAAGCCCAACACTGGGACCATTGAAGCCAAGGAAGGACCTCAACCCCATGATGATGATGACGGATGACGCGTCACTCACTTCTCCTTGACATCCTTCGCGTGCCTGTCGTTCGCCACCCCAATCGGCTTGGAAAGATCCCGGAACACGGCAGGGTCGCTGAGGTCCAGCGTCTCGGAGACATAATCTTTCAGGATCCACGGAAACTGAACAGGAGAGGGAAACAACAGCCTCTGGGTTTTTCCGCTTGTGAGGCAGCCTCGGGAGGCCAGGAAAGGAAACCCTTTTGAATCAGGACCAGGGGCTGCTGCTCAGGATCGAAAAGCTTCCCCCTCCTGGTCTCCCTTATCCTTCCGCAGACAACTTACCACAGGGTACTGGGAGAGATCGTTGTAGGTCCGGCCCGCAATGGTGTTTAGCTGCATGAGGTACTCGAAGTTGGAGATCTCCCTGTAAACCCATTTCTGAAAGGAGATAAACAGGATGATGACTGGAAGCCCCTTCGGGCAGAGCCTCTAATCGACACGCGGAGGATTTCCGAAAACGGTGGCGGAATGGCAGGCGAACAAAAGGGTCGGGTACCTATAAGGATGGCACCTTTTGGGTGCCCAGAATCCTCTCAAGAATTCCTCCAGCAGAATTCCGGGAGGAGCAGCTAAAATAATAATAATAAAGTCCAAAGACCAGTTGTATTTGTTTCCACTGGCCCATTTCTGTTTCCAAAAATCAAGAAAGCGCTCTGGTGCTTCCCGAGAGGCATAGTCTTCCTGGGAGGTGTAGTTTCTCTGGGAGGCACCCTCCACAGAGCCTGGTGGGCAGCAAGATGGCACCTCCTAAGAACCAACGGGGCACTTTCCCTATCATTTGCAACTCGGCAGGCTGGAGGAGGCGCCCACAGCTAAGTCAGCATCGCCGGTCTTCAAGACTTGCCCTTCTCTGCGACACCTCCCAGAATTTGGCCTGGGGAATCCTTGGAAAATCCCGAGAGTTGTAGTAAACTGTGACAGCAAGAAAAGACCCATCCCCAGGATTCATTCTAAGCCCCCGCCTTTGACTTGGAGCCATTTTGTCAGGCATCCTAGCCCTGCTAGATGCCTACCTTGTGCATCAATTGCCTTTTTGGCCCCATGGCAAGGATTTGAAGCACCCTCGTTTTCTCCTACCCTAAGAACAGGCGAGAGGAGCCCTCGGGAAGGTGTGTGATAGAGCACACCTCAAAAGGAGGTTGATTTCTTTAAAAACCCACACCATCCTGACGGGCTCTCTCCAAAACAAGGGCTCCTTGTTCTTCTAAAATGGCCAAGGCACAAAGATTTAAGGACGGTGTGGGGCCCGGTGGCTGTGTTGGTGGCAGGAGGGGACAGCCAGAAAAAAAAAAAGAGTAAAATCCTGCACCTGAGTCAAGCCGGACGCTTTCAGCAACTCCTGTGGCGAGCGGCTCGCGAAATAAATCTGGTTCGGCGGTCGGAGGCTGAGGATGGAGAAGTACACCTTGTTCCTCACCTGCGGGGAGCAAACCGACCGTCGGTGGATGGCCACGCATGGAGGCACCCTTCCCTTCCCCAGTCTCTGGACGCCTCCCGGCTTCGTTCTGCTCAGAGACCGGACGGACGAACCGAGAAAGGAGCCAAAGACAGAGCAGGGAAAGGCAGGGAGGAATCGACCATTACCATTTTCTTGAAATTGAGGAAGTAATTGGCCTGGTCGATGAAGAAGAACTCCAAAGCAGACCGGCGGAGGTTGTAGCGGCGAAGATGCACTTCCCGGAGCTGCGACAGGGGGCGCTTGAAGTCGTAGCCGATCCCTGGGCGGAAAGGGGGAGACAGACGTGGGAGGAAATCATCGGTGGGTCAGCGCTAACTTGACCCTTCTGGACCCTGCATTCCAAGAAGGATGCTGACAAACTGGGGCAAGTTCAGAGGAAGGCCATCAGGGTGGATCTGGGGGTGCTGTGGCAGAAAAGCTCCCCCCCCAACCCGTGTGCTCCCTGGAAGGACAGATCCTGAAGCTGAGGCTCCAATCCTTTGGCCACCTCATGAGAAGAGAAGACTCCCTGGAAAAGACCCTGATGTTGGGAAAGTGTGAAGGCAAGAGGAGAAGCGGGCTGGGGCAAGTTCAGAGGAAGGCAATCAGGGTGGATCTGGGGGTGCTGTGGCAGAAAAGCTCCCCCCCCAACCCGTGTGCTCCCTGGAAGGACAGATCCTGAAGCTGAGGCTCCAATCCTTTGGCCACCTCATGAGAAGAGAAGACTCCCTGGAAAAGACCCTGATGTTGGGAAAGTGTGAAGGCAAGAGGAGAAGCGGACGACAGAGGACGAGATGGATGGACAGGGTCATCGAAGCGACCAACATGAACTTGACCCAACTCCAGGAGGCAGTGGAAGAGAAGAGGGCCTGGCGTGCTCTGGTCCATGGGGTCACAAGAGTCGGACACAACTAAATGACTCAACAACAACAAAAACCTGTATCTGGACATAACCAACGGCGGGCCGTGGAGGAGGGCCTTCCCAGATCTGATGGATCCGGCAGGTTAACCTTTTGGCCAGAGCTCTTTACTGGATACCCATCACCCAACATGTCCTTGCTCCCTGAAGCTGCCCCGGCCCTTACCTTCCTCGGTGTCGTCCTTCTCGCTGCTTCCGTCGTAGAAATAAATGTGCTGGGTGGTGACTTCCAGTCGCCCCGGGATCACGGCCACGATGGTGATCAGCTCGCAGTCCTCCGAGATGACCAGCTTCTCCCTCTGGCTTTGCTCTTTAGGTTCCGCGCTGGAACGAACGTAAGGCTTAACGGGGGATGACTCAGAGGATGGCAGATCACGGCCCGTCCCAACCGCTCAATCATTCCCAGTCTATCCCCGCGGGGGCCAAGAGAGGCGTTCCCATTGTTGCGGCCTCGAGCGAGCGGTCGAGAAGAACTTACTGGCTGTCTAGGAACGAGAGGTCCTCCTCGTCCAGCTCGTCATCCTGCATCTCGCTGACTTTCGCTTCCTTGGCCACGGCCAAGGGGATGGATTCAGCGGAGTTATGCAAGCCGTCCGCGCCTGGGAGGAAGCGGGAAGAAACAGCAGGATGAGGCCGGTGCCTTGACATGGCAACCCCAGGGCGGTTTGCTTCTCTAAACGAGAGACTCTCGCTCGGGAAGATGGAAATTGCCGGGACAGCGGCGGTGACAAAGGACAGAAGGACCCAGGCGGGGTGTGGGGTCCCCAGACATTCAGGCTGGCAAGCAAGGGACGTGATTCCTTTTCCAGTCCTTCAAAATTCCTTGCCTCCTGGGAAAAAAAGGAGACAAGGAGGGCTGTTTTCCCCTCAACCCACTCTCCCTACAATATTCGCCGTACAATACAAAGAAAGAAATAACACTTCATTTTCAATGCTTTCTCTTGTTTAAGTAAGGTAAAGGTTCCCCTTGACATTTAGTCCACTTGTGTCCGACTCTAGGGCACGGTGCTCATCCCCATCTCCAAGCTGTACAGCTGGCGTTGGTCCGTAGGCAGTTCCCGTGGTCACGTGGCCAGCGTGACTAGATACGGAACACCGTGACCTTCCCACCGTGGTGGTACCTATTTATCTACTCACATTTTTACATGCTTTGGAACTGTTAGGTTGGCAGGAGCTGGGACAAGTGATGGGAGCTCCCTCCGTTGCATGGATTCGATCTTACGACGGCTGGTCTTCTGACCTTGCAGCCCAGAGGCTTCTGCGGTTTAACCCGCAGCGCCACCACATCCCCTTTCTCTTGTTTAAGGGTCCCGAAAAACAACCTCCTTTTTCCAAGAGGAGAAGTATAATAATGTTGTGGTGCAAAGAATCTGAAAACGAAGTGGGTTGCTGACCCCCTTCTTAGCAATCCACCAGCTCTAGTGCTTGTGTGTGTGCATATGTGTGCGTGTGCCTTGATGGCTTAACTCTCGTGGCCCGAACGGCGGCCTCTTTCTGGGCAGCAGTCCTGCGGCCTCCCCGCCTACCTTGGTTGTCGCGAAGAGCGCTCGCCTCCGAGTGGCGGTCGAAGGTGTAATTGGGCACCAACTTCAGCCTCATGCGAGAGTAGGTCTCCGCGTTTGACAGCTTCCAGTGTATCTCTGGAGGATTTCTGCAAAGCAATTGCGTGTGTGTGTGAGAGATTGATTAATCGACCTTAAATGTCTCAGCCTGAGGGGAGACCGAAGACAGAGAAAACAGCTCTCCATCACACCCACTCCCCCATGTGAGGATCTGTGCCAACGTATCCTTTCCTGCAGGGGGCCCATAAAGAGGGCAGACCCCCCCCTTTGTACTTTACGGCGGACTTCTAAGAACACGGCTCTGCTAAGGTCGTATTGCTCCAGTGCCGGGCCGCCAAGAGGGATTCGGAGAGAGAGAGTCCGGGAACGTACCGCTCAGCCCACGCAGAGCGCTGGGACGTCAGCAGGCGCCGCAGACCTCTCCACTGCTTCAAGACCGTGTGGTGGTGATTGTTGACTTGCTTCAGCATGTTGGTGTGCCGGATGTTCTCGTATTTGGCCCGCTTCATCACCGGTTCCAAGATGTGCTCCTAGGACAGGGGGAGGACCAAGGCGGCAGGGGGAGGGAATGGGGGGGGAGGAGAAAAAGGCAGTGGGGTGAGGATGGGGTGGAGACCCCACCAACTCAAAGAAGGGAGGTGTCTTCTGAGGGAGAGAGCAAACCAATCAATGCGGGAGCTTTTATATGTAGCAATGCAATAGGACCCCCATATCTGTACACGGGGGGGGGCGTCCTATTGCATTGGACCAAGGGAGGAGAAAAAGGCAGTGGGGTGAGGATGGGGTGGAGACCCCACCAACTCAAAGAAGGGAGGTGTCTTCTGTGTAGTGGGGAGACCCATGGGGCAGGAGGGAGGGAAAGAGCGAAGCAATCAACGCGGGAGCTTTTATATCTAGCAATGCAATAGGACCCCCGTATCTGCACGCGGGGGGGGCGTCCTATTGCATTGGACCAAGCCCCCCTCCCCCGTGGATGCTGAAAAACGTGGATTACAGAGAACCGCATTTTAATAGTAAATGCTATACACAGCGTGATCTCTGGCTCCCTCAACTGGCCAGTTCTGTTAATGACATCATGGAAACAGGTCTGCAAATGCCATATAACGCATGGCCTCTGGCTCCTTCTAGTGGCCAGTTCTAGTAACTTCAACTTTAAAAATATATATTTCTAGGATTTCTCTTTTAATATTTTCAGACCGTGGATAAGTGAATCAGTGGATATTGATCCCATGGAGAAGGGGCTCCTACTCTGTTTTCAAACTGACCTCCATAACCACAAGGGCTGGAAGTCTGCTTTTAAGAAAGCCACGGATTCTTGTCCTTCTCTGTAGGTTGCGCCGAACCCAGTACAAAGCTCCCCTTTTGACGGGATTTGTGGGGTAAAAAAGAGCCTGGCTTCACTCCGTGCCCAAACCCGCTCCGTCTTACCTGAAACTTCCTCCGGCTCTCCACTTTCTCTTTCTCTCTCCGCTGCGAGCTGCTCATCAAGGCGTCGTAGCAGGAGTTCCAGAAGTTCGACATGTGGTCGTGGCTCTTGGCAAAGGTGTCCGTTTCGAACTGAAGCATGGTGGGCTGCACCTGTTCGACGGAGACCCGTTCGGGAAGATCGGGAAGCCGAAAATCAGAAACACCACGGGCTCAAAGGCAGGTGACTGTCCCCGAACTTTAAACAGGGCTCAGAAAAGTCCCTGTATTTCAAACTTTCAAAAAAGGGACAGCAATGGTGTACAAAAGCTAGGGAATCGCGGAAGGACTAGGTTACGGGAAAAGGATCCCCACATCTACGGGGGGAGTCAAGGGCCCCTAGGCAGTTCCAGGGCTCGAAGCTCTCCACCCCCTGCTTCAGACCAGTCTACATGCTTGCATTTCCGTAAGACACACACAGGATTCCGTGTGGCTCTCGCTCACCTGCTTCTCGATAAACGCCGTCCATTCCGGCGTCGTGCAGAACACCTGGAAGTCCTCGTAGAAGGTCGGGCTGCCGTTGGTGGGGGGCAGAGACGGGAGGAAATGCTGCAGTTGCAGCACGTCATAGCACTGGTCCATCAAGGTGCGGACGATGGGCACCAGCCAGGAGAAGGTCTCCGACTTGTCGTGCAGGGAGCGCTGGAGAGGCGTCTCCAGTTTGCCCAGTAAGTAGCAGGCTTCTTCTTTCTTGGGAGCCGAGGCCGTCTGGAGCAGGCTGTGGAGCTTCACGTAGGCCAATGACTGCAACTGGAGAGAGAGAGAGAGACAAAGACAGAGAAGGAGGGAGAGAGAGAACATGCAAAGAGGAGAGGAAGAGAATCAGTCGAGGGAGATCTGAGAGCGGTTTTTTCCCTCAAATATTTGAAAGGCGGTCCTACAGAGGAAGGGGAGGATCTGTTCTTCATCATCCCAGAGTGCAGGGCACAAAACAATGGGCTCAAGCTACAGAAAGCGACTGCAACTAGAGAGAGAGAGAGAGAGAGACAAAGACAGAGAGGGAGGGAGAGAGAGAACATGAGAAGAGGAGAGGAAGAGAATCAGTCGAGGGAGATCTGAGAGCGTTTTTTTCCCCTCAAATATTTGAAAGGCAGTCCTACAGAGGAAAGGGCAGGATCTGTTCTTCATCATCCCAGAGTGCAGGGCACAAAACAATGGGCTCAAGCTACAGAAAGCCAGATTTAGGCTGAATATCAGGAAAAAATGTCTTAACTGTTAGAGCAGTACAACAACGGAACCAGTTACTGCAGGTTAATGTTACAAAACTTCATTTTTTGTGAGAAAGTTCACAGGGATCATTAGCTGGCTTTGTATACGGACAACTTTCTCCCCTCCCCTTCTAAATGAAAATCTAAGCTCCAATCCATCCCAAATATGGTGATGTGGTGAGCGCTCCAACGCTGGGGGCATTCAAGAGAAAACTGGACCACTTTGATTCCTATTCATGCACTGAGCAGAGGGTTGGACTTAATGGCCTTAGAGGCTAAATGGGGTTCGAAGTGGGGGGAAAGCAGGATGGGGGGGCCCATCCCTTAGCCGCCACCGCCCCCGCCTCCACGCTCCCTGGGGACGTCTCACCTCTAACTCCATGCTAGCATGATTTTAAGGCAAATCTCAAGGTAGAGAGCGGTCCTATCGTCAGTGGCAGACAGCAGGATCTTGAACGCACCAAGGAATTTAAAATTGGACCGTAGAAACAAACTTCAAGGGTTTTCAACTGACTTTCATCAGCTTTGCAAACATACGGCAAGGTTGGGGAACTCTGGCACAATTCGGGGTTCAAAGTGGGGGAAAGCAGGCTGGGGGGGCCCATCCCATAACCGCCGCCCCCACCTCCACGCTCCCTGGGGACGTCTCACCTGCACATCCTCCAGCATGATATACCCCATCAGCACACGCAGGCCGATCTGGGCCATCTCTTTCAGGTCTGACGTGCCGTTGGCCAAGTGGTACCAGACGCCCAGCTTGTCCAGCAGGCTGTTGACGCCCTCGTAGACCTGAAGGCCAACGACAGCACAGAGGGAAGAGAAGGTCATTCTCCGATGCCACCTCCATAGCCTTCACAGAGAAAGGTTTGGGACAAAAGGGAACTCCCCAACTTTCCTGCCAGATCCCAGTTGCCACAACTGCTCTTTCAGCCTCGCTCGTTGCCAGGATTACACCTGAAAATGCAGCCCACACACCCTCCGTCCCCCCCCACGGCTCCACATCCTTGCAGTCAGGGGGTCAGGCTCCTCAAGCAGGCTCGCCAAAGAGTGAGCGCACTATAGAGAGATACGGCGCCTCTTTCCCCAGGAGAAACGACGGAGGAGATTGCTTTCCAGCTGGTGGACCCCCAAAGAGAGGTGGACAGCTGCCAGCCATGATGCAAAGCACCGCCGGAAAGCAGGTTTTGCCAGTGTATTCGCGAAGGGTTTCACGGACGGGATCCAATGTTCTTAAGGTTTTTCTTCCTGATGTTTTGCCCATCTCTGCAGCTGGCATCTTCAGAGGACAAGAGTTAGAACTCTGTGTTCTGGTACAGTTTGTGGGATAGTTGAGTATTTATACATGTGGGATCAGTTTTTGGCCTTTTCAGGATATTGGGTAATTATAGTGATCAGCGTGTTTCCAACAAAAGACTAGCTAACGACACTCATCAATCATCTCCCCCCCTTATCACAACAATACATCCACAACAAAAAAACATGCTGATCACCATAATCACCCCAACCTCTTGAAAAGGACAAAAGCTGATCCCACAGCTACAAATACTCAATTATCCCACAAAACTGCACCAGAGCACAGACAGAGTTCTGACTCCTGTCCTCTGAAGATGCCGGCCACAGAGACTGGTGAGACGTTAGGAAGGAAAACGTCCAGAACACAGCTAAATGGCCCAGAAAACCCACAACCACCAGCTTTTGCCCGTCTTCAACCGTGGGGCATCAAAACCAGCGGGCAATCTCTGTTTCTCTTTCTCATGGAGGAGGACAAAAAAGAAAAAAAGATATCACTATCGATGCCCACCTTCTCGCTCCACAAGGCCTCATTGTTGTGTCCTTCAGCAAACAAGAAATCCTGAAGGAGGCGCAACAGCTTCAGAGCGTTCTGGGTGAGGCTCGGCAACATGGCAGGCGTGGATTCCTTGATGTCCGTCAGAGCTGACTCCATCATCATCTCCAGGAGGCTGGGAGCAAAGAAGATAGAGAAGTGAGGGGAAGAGGGAACGGTAACGGGCTCCTAGTTTTAAAAAATCATCATGCGGCTAAGCACAGCCCGCAGAGGACTCCTGAGCGGCACCTTCCCACTCTCCTTTTGGGGTTTCTACGTTTAAAATATATCAAAATATAGGATGCACAGCAGCCTTATAAAGATACGTTAGGTCCCAAATAAGAAGCTCATGCCAGAAAGACTTTTATCATCTACATTGGATCCCTCAATAAATCTTCCTGCCAAGCCGGGCTGCCTAACCGGGACCTTGACTGTTGAGTTCTCCCACAGCTCGAGTGAAAGACGTTCATTGAATAATAATACTATTCATTTTTCCCCAAAAGCATCCAATGTACTTCTCCTCTCTCTTCTCAACTGTTAGAGCGGTAGGACAATGGAACCTGTGGCCTTGAGAGGTGGTGAGCGCTCCAAGGCTGGAGGAATTCAAGGAAAACAGAGATAAGCACTTGGCCGATCTGCTTGGGTTGGGATTCCTGCCTTGAGCTGAGGGGGTTGGGCTGGATGATCTTCAGAGACCCCTTCAGAGACACCTCTGCCCCCACTTACCTGCGCTTGATCTCATCGGGCGGGCGCACCAGCTCACAGGCCGAGCCCAGCTTGGTGAGGACGGAGAAGACCTGCCCCCGTTCCTTCCAGGCGGGGTCATCCCAGCCTTCTACGCCTCGCCAGGTGACGGAAAAGATGATGTTGGTCAGCAGGTTGCACAGCTCTTCCTCCGGGGTTTGCTGGGGAGGAAGGAACCACAAAAGTCGGCTGAACGGTCTCCCGCAGACGAGACTCTCTAGAAGAGAGACTTGGAAAAGCTCCTCTTTTTTTTGGACCGTTATTGGTGGGGACGGTTCTGGGGTAACTTTTCCAAGCTCGGATCTGGGATCCGGGTCAGAATTTTCTCTCAACTGAACCATTTTAGAACTTAGGACACACCAAGCTCCAGTTTTATCTGGCAGCTAAGGCCAAACGCAAGGTACAGTGGTGCCTCGCTTAACGATACAAGCTCCAGCTTTATCCGGCAGCTAAGGCCAAATGCAAGGTACAGTGGTGGCTCGCTAGACAGTTACCCCCACGTGACAGTTTTTTCACTAGACATTGACTTTTTGTGATCGCTATAGTGATTTGCAAAACAGTAATTTCTATGGGGGCATTTCTACATTTTTTTCGCTTTGTGATGATCAATTCCCTGCTTCGGGAACCGATTCTTCGCAAAACGATGTTTTTTAACAGCTGATCGGCGGTTTCAAAATGGCCGCCGGGTAATTAAAATGGCTCCCCGCTGTGTTTAGGGACAGATTTACTTTATAGGCAGCGACAATGGCCGCCCCTATGGAGGATCTTCACTGGACGGTGAGTTTTCAGCCCACTGGAACACATTGAACCGGTTTCAATGCATTTCAATGGGCTTTTTCGTTTCGTAAGACAATGTTTTCGTAAGATAGCGATTTCAGTGGAACGGATTTGTCTAGCGAGGCACCACTGTAACAGTGTTTGCTTCCTTGTTTTTTTTTCTCTCTCTCCTTATTTATTTGTTAATTTCTCATTCCTCAGCCCTCTCCCAGCTGTCAGACCTCCCTGTGTGTTGCAAAGGGGTTTGTGCCTGTTTGCAGAGAAGCCACCATCAATAGCTTAGCTGTGGATTATTGCAGGCTGGTCATTCTAGGCCCCCATGGCTTTCTCATTTACTTATTTAAAAATATCTCTACCCTCTCTTTCTCCTTGAAAGGACCCAAAAAGGGGCTCACGGCATTCAAAGGACATTGAAACAGGACTTATACAAATGCTAAAAAGGATCAAACAAATACCCTCTTTAAACAATGGTAAACAAAAGCAACACCAAAAAACACATTCAAAACAGTAAAAGCACAGGATGCTGCTAAAAACCCCACTCACCCAGGCGGCTAGTCCTTTGAAGGAAAGCCTGCCTGAAGAGGAAGGTCTTTTTGCCTGCTTGCGGAAGGGCAGCCAAGATGGGGCCAGGCTGGCCTCCAGTGGTAGGGAGTTCCAGAGTCTTAAGAGGACCAGATTTGACTCCTTTAAATAAGAATGACAAAGACAGGGCCGGGCTGGCCTCCAGTGGGAGGGAGTTCCAGAGTCTCTGGGAGCAGCCACCAAGAAGGACCCTCTCCTGTGTCCCCACCAAATGCACCTGTGAAAGGAGGTGGGACGGAGAGAAAGGCCTCCTCGGATGATCTTCATGCCCAGGCCAGGCTCCCATAGAGGGAGACGAGGGTCTTTGAGATACAAGCTATTTAGGGCTATCACCAAAGCCTAGAGGACTGTGTTACATGGAGTCAGTCCACTAGCCTGCCCAGCACGGAAGCCTTAACTTTGATTGGAAATCTCAGAGAGGAAGCCCTGGGTCCTTCCTTGGGCGAAGCCTGTACCCAATCAGTGAGTGGCCATTCTCTCTCTCTCTCTCTCTCTCTCTCTCTCTCTCCAACATCTGGGGGTGGGTGGGGAGAGAGAGATCCAGGGGTTGAAGGCAGGAGAGGTGCCTGCTCTGGGCAGCCGAGGCGAGGAAGGGAAGGAAGGGAAACCCACCTGAGGGTTGCTCGTGTTGGAGATGGTGTCGCTGGGCAAGGTCTCTTGGTAGCTGGTCTCGTCCAAGACGTTGGAGAGGCTGGAGCTCTTCCTGGCCCGCGTCCCGGGGAACGGCTTGAAGCTCTCCAGGGGCGACGGGGTCTCCGGCAGGCTCACCGGCGTCTGGTCGCCGCTCTCGACGGTGGCCACCGAGCCGCTGCTGCTGAGGTCCAAGCCGAGGTCGAAGGGGGACATGGAGAAGGGAGAGAGGGGGTGGTAGACCCGGTCGGCCCGGGGCGTGTCCCCCGCCTGGGCGTCTCTGGGCCCCGGGAAGTCGACGTTGTTGGAAGACGAAGAATGGCTGACCAGGTCCAGGGAGTCGAAGGGCTTGAAGGCGTACGGGGGGAAAGGTTCGCTCCTCTGGCCGGTGGGCGAGAAGGAAGGGTCGGAGAAGCCTTCCGAAAGCTCCGGGTCCGACGCGTCGCAGCCCAGCGGGAGGAAGACGTCCAGGTCGCGGAGGGCGGAGGGGCTGGTGGGGTCGGCCCCCGGCGCCTTCTCTCCATTGACTCCCGGCAGATCGGAGGCCTTCCGGAGGCCGAAGCCGCCCCCGCCGCTGGCGGAGCCGGGCAGGCCGTGCCGGCGGGTGGGGGTCGGCCCCCGGCGCCTTCTCTCCATTGACTCCCGGCAGATCGGAGGCCTTCCGGAGGCCGAAGCCGCCCCCGCCGTTGGCGGAGCCGGACAGGCTGTGCTGGCGGGATTCGTAGGACTCCTTGACGTAGAGCTTCGTGAGGGTGTCCTGCCAGCCGGCCAGTTTGGCCAGCTGCTTCACCGGGTCGTGCTGGGAGTAGATCAGGTGGAACAGCTTCGAAATTTGGGGGCGGGGGGATAGAGGAGGAAAGGAAGCAGAACACTGTGAATGACCGGTTCACACCTGCTACTCTTGGGCGTTTGGCTCTGGGGTAGGATGGTGAAAAAGGACAGGGACCAGCCGGGGTGGGTGGGTCCGTGAGTAAGGGATGACCATTTCCACCTCCTACTAAGGCTGAAAATCTGCAAAAAACAGGCACCAACTCTTTGCTGGCATGGGGATGTTTAGCCACTATCCCACTGGGGGAAGCAGGAACCTGTGCTGTTTAGGGACAGGTTGTGTTGCAGTTGCACAATGCACAATGGTCGGGTGGAGGATGCCCGCTTCAGTCCCCACTATCTTCTGAGAACAGGTAGAGGGGCTGGAGAGCATAGGGGGAAATCAATCGCAAGGCCCCTTTCTTAAAAACTGATGACTTTCGCTCCAACCTGCCTAGCCTTCTTGGGCAGAATAAAATCCCCGCTTCCGGCTCCTACTCACCTTCCTGCAGACATCCAGCCGGACCGCCAGTTCTGCTCGGTGAGAGAGATAAACCACAGCCACCAAGTCTTGGTAGTTTGGGGATTCTGGGGGGGAAGCGGAGAAGGAACAACACGAAGCCTCAGGTGGATGGATTCACACGGGAGGGAGAGGGGGTGTCATCAGCCACACCCCTGCACCGACATGGCATGCACCAATGGGCAAGGATCTCTTGACGGCACAGGGGCCAAGCAGGCATGCGCAAATGTAGGCACACAGACAATCCTGCGCCATGCCCACGGGCCACCAGCGGCATCGGTACCCTACCCACCCGAGCATCTGTGTACACGCCTGCCAGAGCGCACTGCCTCCGTGCAACATGGCATTTGTGTGAATCAGACCGTCCAATGTTTTCCTGTTTGGAGCACCCTGCTTCAAGAGGCAAGGGATCAGGTACACTAGGATCCGTTCCAAGCCCCCCCCATCCCTCCTGCCGATGCCGAAAAACATGGGAATATTTTATTAGCGAATGCTATACATAGCATGGTTTCTGGCTCCTTCTGGCGGCCGGTTCTGGTAGCTTCCATCTTTAGAAATGCTGTATTTTTCCGTGTATAAGATTATACTTTTTTCTAAAATCCTTAGACTAAAAATTGAGGGTCATCTTATACATGGAAGTAAGCTGAGGAGAGAACAAAAACAAGTGGAGGGGAAAGCAGGGCTCGAAGCGATCCTGCAGCTCTTTGATCCCTTTCCCCCTACACTTGTTAATCCAGGAGGTGGTTCGACCCTGGATGAGCGCAGCACCTCCATGGGAGTGCGCTCACCTTGCTAGAGTGTAGCTGAACCTGGGTGCCGGCCTGACCAAATCCCAGAGAGAGACGGTGACCTGCAACCCACAGCTGGACCTCGGAGGTGGAACTAAGTCTGCTGGTCCTTCCCGCCACCTGTCAGCCATGCACTCTGAGAGGAAGGCTGAAGGGAGCACCTTGCCCCAGGAAGAAGCGACTGGCCCCCCAAAATCGGTTTAGAAACAAAGCCACAGAGATCTGATGTCAGCGGTCAGTCCGGGGGTGAGGTGGGGAGAGAGAGAGAGAGAGAAGAGAGTCCGGAGAGGAAGAGCCAGAAAAAAGTTCAAAGAAAGGTTGGGTGGAGGCGAATCACCCATCTTTGGTCCTCTTAGCCGCATTTTGCCGAAGAAGGACCTTCGCCTAGCTCTGCTCCGAAGGGCCTATTCGGCCACGCGGGAGGCAAAGCCACCGTCCGAGCCGAGGGCTTGCCTTTTTTACCTGAACTGAGGACTTGTTCCAAAAGGCACCGGAAGAGCAGCATGGAGACCGGGATGTCGTTCAGGGAGGAGAGGAAGCCCTGGTAGCCGATGTCCTTCAGCTTCAGCTGGTGTTTGCTCCTCTCGTTCACTTTCTCGTACTTCAGCAACTTGTGCAGGATCTGTGCGTGGAGCAAGAAGCAAGGGTGGGGGGAGCGGAAGGGGAAGCCCCAAGTCTTCATGGCCCAAACGTAGCTCCCCTACACTCCAACCCCACTCCCAAACTTTAAACATTTCTATAGGGGGGTGGAATCAGCTGGAAAAGCACCCCCTGGCATAGGGGGATTTTCACCATGCTTTTAGGGGCGCTCAGCACCTCTCGCCACCCCAGTTTAAATTGATTTTAAAAACTGGACACTGGAAAAAAGCCTCCCCTGCACTGGGGGGGTGGGGTGCAAGAGGGTTTTTTCAGTCCTCCCAATTTTATAGGAAACGTGGTTTTTGAGGGCGTAGCCGTGAGAGTGGATGTAGCCGTCCAAAATCCACGGACGGGCATGTGTAGCCCCAAGACTTCTAGAGGTCACCCAACCCTGCCGGCAAAGGTTCGGGAGGAGCTTCAGAACCATAAAAATTGGCTTTCCCAGGGTTTAGGTCTTCCCTCTGTGCCACAAACCCAAACTCCACACACGCCACCTAAAAATCAGGGGATGGTGGCATTCGGTCCTGAGTGATGACGGTCCCTAGGGACAACACTGTTTTTATCCCAACCACCTCCAAGCCTCTTGCCGGGTCCTGCGACCTGCCAAAGGCGCTCGGAGTACCCTCACCTTGAAAATCCTCTCTCGCACATCATCGGAGAACTTCCGCTGAACGAGCAGTGAGAACAAGATCTCGATGTTTCCCGGCTCAAAGAGGAAGGCGTACACCTGCTCCTGGGAGGGCGAGCTCTTTTGCAGGCTGTGGATCACCTCCAGCATGCCGCACACCTGCGAGACACACCAGAATCCGCCGTTGGGTTTCTCCTGCGGCCCCAAAGGAGGCTCGAGAAAAGACCTCAGGAAAGAGAGGTTGCTTCAGAAGAATCACTAATGACGGCTGTCTGATCTCTTCACCGAGATGCAGTCCTTCTCTTGCCTCCTCTAAATGCACCCAAGCTCATCGTGTTAATTGCACGAGAAGCAGAGCTAAATGTAAACCCAGCATTACCATATTTTTCCGTGTATAAGACTTATCCAAAATTAAGAAGTGGGCCTTAGCAAGTGCAGGGGGGAAAGGGATCAAAGCGCCGCAGGATTGCTTTGATCCCTGCTTTCCCGTCCACTTGTTTTTCTCTCCTCAGCTTACTTCCATGTATAAAACGACCCTCAATTTTTAGTCTAAAGATTTTAGACAAAAGTATAGTCTGATACATGGAAAGATACAGTAACTCCTTCGTGTCTGTTCATGCACTTTCCTCCCCTTAGAACGTTCCTGAGTTCCTGGTCATCTGGGACTTGACCTCTAAATATGCGAAAGGATCTGGAGGTCAGGGCAAAAGGTGGACCATGACATTTGGGTCCAGTCATCCTCTCACTCACTCTCTGTGTGATATGTATGGTGTGTGTGTGTGAGATAGAGAGAGATAGAGAGAAGGACTAGAATGTGATATTTGCATAGCGAAGCATTCTGACCGGTCAGATATATAAAGCAAGGGTCAGTTAGCAGTCTCTCCAATTGGGTTGAAATGATTTTATAGGGCTAGACAGGCCAAATACAGTGGTGCCTTGCATAACGAGCGCACCATTTAACGACAAGTCTGCATAGCGATCTATTTTTGGGGATCTCTAATGTGATCGCATTGTGATGTTTTAAATGGTAAAACATCGCATTGTGATGTTTTTAGAACAGCTGATCGCGGTTCCAAAATGGCCATCGGGTGCGCAAAATGGCCGCCGCAAGCATTTTCGCGCGGTTTCCTCGCTTAACGAGGCATTGAAAATGGTGGCGCTATGGAGGATCTTCGCTGAACTGTGAGTTTGGGCCCCATAGGAACGCATTAAACGAAGTTTAATGCGTTCCTATGGGGTTTTTAGTTCCGTTTAGCGATGTTTCTGGATAGCGACGATAAATCCGGAACGGATTATTGTCGCTATCCGGGGCACCACTGTATGTAGTACAACACAGTTTATAGGGCCAAACAGGATGTTAAATGAGACGGATTGGTTAAATGTCTGTCAAGTTTAACCATGATATATGCTAATATAACTAAGTCATGTACAAGTTGATAGAACAAGTACCATCTGTCTAAGCAGTGTGAGTTTATTCTATTCTACTTGTTATTTAAGGGAAAAAATGGTTTTTTAAGGCTTTTCACAAAGAACACGTGATCATTTTATGTACTGTCAACCACTGATATATACACACACAAGGGAGCGTAACCGTTTTTACTATGCCATCAGTTTTTTTAATAATGCTTAAAACAGCCATGAGCCAAGGCTGTCAGTGACATTTTATATTATTTCAAAACCAAAAGGTTTTTTAAAAAACCTTTAAAAACCCACAGAAGGTTATGGCAGCCCAGATCAACCACGTGAAGGATCCAAGCCATTTTCACAACCGAGAAAAGTGGTGTCAGGACAACACTTGCAGAAGGACCGGAATGATTCTGGGCTCGGGATCATCCGGCGCCCTTGCTTTTCCTTAGCAGAGGTTACCGCAGGCGGGGCTGGGGATGATGAGGGCAAGAGCCGGGGGGGGGAACCCTCTGATCCTCCTTCCCAAGAGACGGGTCCCCAGGGCGTTTTCCTTGCTCTGCTTGTCTTCTAGGTCCCTCTCCCGCCCTACCTGGTGCTCTTCATTCACGGCTGCAAGATAGTTCAGGGAGCTCTGCATTTCCTCCGTGGAAAAGTTCCTGCTGAGGAAATCCTTCACCAGGCTGAAGAGGGAGGTCTGCACCGTCCGGATGTCGTCCGTGGCCAGAGGCCTCTCCTTGCACACCCTGAGAAGGAGGTGGAGGGACAGCGTCAACGAGAGGGAAAGATTTTGCTAGGCCCAGCTTGATTCCATCCTGGCCCAGAGATGCAGCCGCAGGCCACCATCCTGGTTTCCATGGACACCAATATGTGTTCAGGAAAAATCAGGAAAAGGCCACATGGGTTGTGTGGACACAACACAGTTACAGGAACAGGGGATGCCTTGAATCCGACATGAAGAATATAAAATGGAAAAACAGAAAACAACCAGCCAGCTTTCAATGATCAATCATCTTCTTCAAAGCGGTGCATCGAGGTCTCGTGAGTCGTTCTTCCCTCCCCGGGACAAAAAGAAATTCTTTGAGCTTCAAAAAGGCAGAGAAGGGGGAACGCGGGGAGCACATGGCCTGTGAGTGTCCTCTGTTTTTTGAGAGATGGGCCATAAAATTCCAAACTGCTAGCTGAGTAGATGCTTGAAACCAACTTGCTTACTGCAGCTATCCTCGTGGCGCAGGGGTTAAACTGCTGTACTGCAACTAAAACTGTGCTCACAACCTGGGGTTCAATCCCAGGTAGCCGGCTCAAGGTTGACTCAGGCTTCTATCCTTCCGAGGTCAGTCAAATGAGTACCCAGCTCGCTGGAGGGGGGGGGGAATGTGTAGCTTGCATAATTAACTTGTAAACCGCCCAGAGAGTGCTTGAAGCACTATGGGGAGGGTATATAAGCAGCACGCTTTGCTTTTTTTTTTTTTTAGCTAAGAAGCTAGACTGGCATCAACATCATCAGCCGTGTGAATGTGGGACATCGGTAACAGCATATAAGTTGGAACGACCCACAAGAGCGTGATACACAACCCTGAAGAAGATGATTTATCACTGAAAGCTTGCTGTTCCTTTTTGTTTTCTGCTTTTTTCATTTTCTATTCTTGATGGTTAATTAATTAAAGGCGTCACCTGTTGTGAGTAGACATTCACTTCTGTTTCTGAACCTCTTTCAAACACCTCCTCCACATAGGTAAAATTAAAGGTTCCCCTTGACATTGAGTCCAGTCGTGTCTGACTCTAGGGCATGATGCCGTAGAGACAGCGTTTGTCCGTAGACAGTTTCCGTGGTCACGTGGCCAGCATGACTAGAAACAAAACGCCGTGACCTTCCCACCAAGGTGGTCCCTATTTATCTACTCGCATTTTTACATGCTTTTGAATGGCTAGGTTGACAGGAGCTGGGACAAGCGATGGGAGCTCCCTCTGCCACGTGGATTCGATCTTATGACCGCTTGGTCTTCTGACTTTGCAGCCTGGAGGCTTCTGCGGTTTAACCCGCCATGCCACCACATCCCATCCACATAAGCTACAGCAATATGGCGCCTCGTCTCAAGAGAGGAACCCCTGTTCACCTGGAGGTGGAATAAGCCACTGTTCATCATTCTGATGTTAAAATACCTCTTTTTTGGAGTCTGGGAGGGGATGCAGGAGGGAGGGAAATGGGCCAGAGGCCCCCGCATGTGGCTTTCCACAGCATTGCCTCCACACTTGGTCTGACGACTCCCCTTCTAAGTCTATGGATGGGCTTAGAAAGAAACCTCCTTCCCACACCTTGAAGACTTCTGGGTGCACGATAAGAGCAAACCAGCTTCTACGTGTGAGCTTAAGAAAAGCAGATCTTGTGCTCCAAAGTACTTGAGAAAACCCCCAACCTGTTCTCAAGACAACTCGCAGGTAAGACCACTGAGCCTCATTCAAAGCTACCTGTCCCACCACGAAACCAGACTATGGATCGGACAACAGGGCACACATGGCGCCGGGTGGGGGGAGGGGGGAGAACCAGGTCAGAAAACGTTTGTTCTTCTTGCATTATCCAGGAAAGACTCTTCTCTCACCCGTAATAGGTCCTGATGGAGTCCAGGATGTACTGGACTCCGTATTTCTTGCGGATTTTTTGCTTGGGATCTTTAATGATGTTGGACAGGTACTGGATGTGACCTGCAAAGGGCAAAAGGCAAAATGAGGCAGGAGAGCGGCCAACGTCGGAGCGATACCCAGCGAACTGCCAGCGCAAAGAGAAGTGCTGGCTTTCAAAGTGATTCGGCAGAAAGCTCTCCACAAGCCGGGTGGCTCCAGTCAGCCCACAGGCTCCCAACGCCATGGGAAGGGCATTTAAAACCGTGATAGGTGGGGCACCCCTTAAGCAGGAGCCAAAGAGGTTCCTTGTTCAGCCAGAAATGGAGGCCGAGCGATGGAGTGGAGGGTGCTGCAAACCAAGGACAAACCCTTTAGGCTGGTGTAGAGAAAGGGGTTTTGACAGCACCCAGTTGCACCCAACTGGGGGGGAGGCTGTTCTCCAAAGGGGGGGGCAAGCTGCAGTCCGGAGCACTCGTGGGAAGGGGAAATACCGCCCAGCTCTCCCACGTAAGCAACGACGGACCGACTGGCTGGGGACGATGGTTCTCTCCTCACCCAGTCGGACGGCAAAGTCACAGTTGCTCCAGATGCGGAAGTCAAAGAGGAGGTACTGGTACAGGAGGTGCAGAAGGAGGCCGTGTCCTTCGGAGGCCACCTGTTCCATGAGGATCTGAGATGCCATCAAGACGTTCAGGTCCATGGCCTGGCTGGAGACCTGCAAAAGCCACAGGGCATATTTTAAAAAAGAGACAGAAGAGCCACAGAGAAGAACCCTCTCTCCCTGCAAAGAGGCCCTGGAGGCCACCCGCTTCATCTCTGAATTAATTGTCTTGCAAAAGCTGGAGCAGGCTTTCCCTGGCCTGCTGGGGGTGCTTGTACTGCAATCCCCACCCTTCCCCTCCCACAGGATAGAAACTGTAGTCCCACTCCTCTGCAGGGCCGTTCAGCCAGGGACGTTTGGGCCAGAGAGGACCACAGAGGACCTTCAGCCCTCCTCCTTACCTTCTGGAGCAGGGCTCCGATGATGGATGGCCCGTGGCATTGGACCAGGCTCTCCTGGTTGACCGGGTGGCCCCGGATAAAGTTCCTCATCAAGAGCAGGAAGGCCGCGATGCTGTTCCTCTCCAGTCTGCTCTCTGGGGGTGGAAGCATGGGCACTGTTATTATAACAAAGGTAGGATTTTCCAAGAGAAAAGGAACGACTCCCTAGAGTGAGATGACAACCCATAATCGACAGCGCCCCCCCCTCCTTATCTGGACCCAAGACCAAACTTTCTCCATTAGAAATGTACAATACTGTTGCCTGCTGTTTTCCCGAAAATAAGACCTAACCGGAATATAAGCCCTTAGTAGGATTTTTCAGGAGGCTCGTCACAGAAGCCCTACTCCAAAAATAAGCCCTAGTTAAATGAAACCCCACCGTCCACCCTTGTGTAGCAACCAGAAGATGATGACAGGACAGCAAAATAAAACATCCCCTGAAAATATGCCCTAATGCGTTTGCTTTTTGGGGAAACAGGGTATGTATGTATGTATGTATGTATGTATGTATGTATGTATGTATGTATGTATGTATGTATGATGTATGTATGTATGTATGTATGTATGTATGTATGTATGTATGTATGTATGTATGTATGTATGAATGAATGAATGAATGAATGAATGAATGTATTTAAAATAGTATGGTGTGCACATGTATGTGAGTGTGTTGCATTCGTGTCAGAGCTTGAAAATTTTTCTTTTTTTGAACTACCACACCCAGAATCCAGCAGTCCAAAAAGAGGAACATTTCCAGGCTCGGGTTCACCCTCTTGTGAGTTGCTAGATTTTGAACCCAGGAAATGAAACTGCCATTTAGGCCCTCAGATTAATTAATTTAAAATATTTTAACCCCAGTTTTCTCCTTTATAAAGGACCCAACATCACTTTAAAAGGTGATCTTTAGAGCTCCAAACAGTAAGCATACAGGTATTAAAAAGGATTAAACAAACACCGCACCAAAAAACGGTAGAGAGAAGCAACACCAAAAACACATTTAGGCACAACCGTCCATTAAATAAATACATTAAAAAAATAAAACCCACTCAGGCCAGGCCGTTCCCCAGGGGAAAGCTTGCCTCGGCCGTCTTTCCTGCTTGCCAAAGGGCAGCCAAGACGACCGACCCTCAAGCCCCCCCACCTCCATCGACCCATTGGGGGAAACAGATGTGTCTTAAACCACCTGAGGATTTCCCCAGCGGGATGATCATGCCCTGGGCGTTGTTGTGCGAAGAGGTCAGCTCCGGGCCAACCAAGTCGTGAGTCTCCTGGCTATCGGCCGGCTCCTTCTTCTGCGAGGCCACCTGGTCCAGCAGCGGCAGCAGCACGCCCATCCCGCCGACGCAATTCACCACGTCCTGCAGGGGAGCCACAGAGAGAGACCGCGAGGACCGGAGCCCACTACTCTACCATCGTCCAGGAGGGCCTCCCGCCTGCCATGGGGTCACGCAAGCCCCGCTGTCCAACCGATACGGACAACGTCTCAGCTGGAAGGTGCCAAACCCCCTTCGCCTGCCGGGATGGAAGTCCTATCAACCCCCCAATCCTGCTTTGCGAAAGGCCAGCGCGTGGAAAGGAAGAAGGACTCTGCCCCAACACACCCTTGCTTCTCCTCGTGGTCCCGATCAAAGAGGTGCGCTTCCTTTTTGCATCCACGAGAAATGAGTACGAAGCAAGGCATACACAGCCACGGTCCATTTTCAGCCCCCCCCAGGACCAGCCTGGTCCACTTACTGGGCTCTGTGGAGCCTTGCGCCAATGGCGGACGTCGTCCCCATGGGTGCTTCCCTGCCTCCCCTCGCAGCCGCCCACTCCGGCGAGTCTCCCCACTCAGTTGCGATGCTGAGGGGGCGTACGCGCCGAGCAGAGCCCAGTAAGCGGACCAGGCTGGTTCTGGGGTGGGAATGGACTGCTTCATATTCGAAGCGCCCATCTCTAGTCCCGATGCCTGCTTGGCCACCACCTCCTCATTTCTAAGCACCTGAACGAACTGGCCATTAATGGATATTATTTGCTATTCAAGGTCTTCCCTTCGCTGCCATAGTAAATAAGCTCTCAAGCCGCACTGACCAGTAAGAGTTGACTCCCTTTTTATCAGCCTGGAGCATCCGGAGGTGGCTGGACTAAAACGGCATCTTCCCGCATCATTCCCCAGTGGAGGATGACGGGAAACCACCTTTGGAGACCAAAGGTGGGGAGAAGCCAACCAACAGCGACTGCCTGACAACCGCCACCCAGACAAGGCGCCCGTACCTTGGCGTTCCAGTTCACCACCTTGTGCCCAGTCAGCCTCCCATCAAAGAAGTGGTTCGGGGAAAGATCCAAGCAGATGTTGCTTTTGCAGGCCTACAAATCCACAACCGAGAACAAGAACAAAAGAGAGAACTATTCATTTTTTAATTTTTCTTTCTTTCTTTCTTTCTTTCTTTCTTTCTTTCTTTCTTTCTTTCTTTCTTTCTTTCTTTCCTTCCTTCCTTCCATCCATCCATCCATCCATCCATCCATCTCTCTCCATCCATCCATCCATCCATCCATCCATCCATCCATCCATCCATCCATCCATCCATCCATCCATCCTTCCATCCATCCATC